GGAGACAACTACGGAGAAGGTAATCCCAAAAATAACCTGCCGAATATAGCAGATAATGGGGACAGGGTAGCCAATGAAAAGGAGGGCGGAGAGAAAGCAGACAATGAGGCCTACAAGGAGGACATAACTGATGTTTCTGTTGTTGGCTTTGACCACCGGAGTCTCTGAGTACTGCCGGAAGATACACACCACTGAGAGGCTAGTCATCGAGAAGGTGACAGAAACTGCAGCCAAAGAAACACCCATCGCATCCTCGTAGGATAGGAACTGGATCATCTTTAGGAGACAACTATCCTGCTGCTCGTTGGGCCATTGGTCATCAGGACACTTCATACAAGCAGTTGCACCTAAGAATAATACAGATTTTAAAGATCATATTCATTCTCATTCATTTTTTGCAATAATTAAAAACATTTGACGCTGTTCTTGGGGGGAGCGTAGTCTGACAGATGGGACTTGTCCATAAATTTCTGTTTAAAGATAAAAAAGAGCAGCAAAATATAGAAAGATGGGAACATACAAAAGTAATAGCAGAATCAGGGGCGGACTGACCACTCGGGCACTGCCCGAGGGCCCAGGGTCAGTAGGGGGCCCCATGAAATGCCCCTGGTACCTTTCATTGGCTTTTTCATAGGCTTTATTGGTCTGGGCAAGGACACGGGGCCCCATGATCCCCTATTGCCCGGGGGCCCCATGAGTTGTCAGTCCGCCCCTGAGCAGAATAAAAGACCAAGTTTTAAGTCCGCAAACGTGAGACTATAACGAAAAAACCCGTAAGTGTTCACAAAAAAGTGCAAGTGCAAAACACCACACAAAAAGTGCACTTAAGGGTGTGCTTTTGTCCCACCCCCGAAGGGGTTGAACCGTTACCCTGATCCCCCGGGGCACGAAGCTCCTGACAGGGACAAGGTTCCCATTTGGTCCTCCTGGCCAAAAGGCCTGGTGGACCACCGTTCCTTATGTCCAGCCGAAGCCGGACATCCAGTACTAGGTCAGGGGGTTCTCCCGAAGAGAAAACCCCCTAGGGACAGGGGAGGAAGGAACCGTATGGCCACACATCCTCCCCCTAGACGTCAGGGTAGGCCCGAGGACCCACACCCTCCATCCTGTGAGAAAAAAAAACACACACAAAAAGTAAAAGGTGACAAACGTGGGGTGAGGAAAAATAAATAAATAAATAATTAAATAAATCTATAAAAATAATAAAAAGTGTCGTGCCCAAATTGTGCACTGACCAGACCCTGAGGCCTGTAGCAAAAAAATTGCCCAGAACTTGACCAAAAGGCCCGGTCCTAGAGGCGCAGTGCAAAAAGTGTTAAACTCGGTGACCATGTGCTCATTCACAGCATGGGGTCCCACACCCAAGTGTTACTCAGAGCACCCCTGAGGCGACTACTCAGGGGGCACCTAGTTTGCGGACTCTCTGCCTTCCCAGCCCCAGGCCAGACCAAGGTAGACCGTCCAAATCAGGAGGCAACTGGGTCCTTCAGACGTTCCAAAGGAGAATTACTCCCGAGGCCCCAGAACGAATCATGGCGCTCCCCGGTTTCTGTCCTCCCCGTAATAGCCATCCAGACCCCCATCATACCAGTGAGGGTACCATACAACAACCATCCCCTTATCAGAATGGTCGGTAGCACCCCCACTGGACACTGATAAGAACAGATACTACACTTGATCTTAGCCAAAAGGCCGAGAAGCGAAAAAATAAAAGACCAAGTGGTCCACCAAGTCTGCCCCAGTCCACCAAGTCTGCCCCAGACCACCAAGTCTGCCCCAGACATAACAGTGCGAATGGAAAAACGTTGTGGAGAATATTTTTTGCACATGGATACTCACACTGTGACAATGACTTGTGATCTATGGGTCAAAGTGGAAAAAACGTATCAACAACCTTTGTTAATACTGTAGGAGCTGCTGTGGTTGAGAGCAGTATGTGCAAGTAGACCCTTCCTAAGGTTTCCTCCTGAAGACTTCATCCTCCTCCTTTCCTCAACTCTCAACTCTTCTTATTGGTCCTGGCACTGGCAGTGGAACCCCTGGATTGGCTAGTGTAGCATAGTAATGTTACCCAGCAGCGTCGGTTCCTCAGAAGTCTACACTTAGCAGGGTCAGAGGCACTGAATGCCATGTGTAGTAGGGGGTGCACAGTTTTTATAGGAGATGTTGAAGAATAGGTTGCATATATATATACACTGTATCTGGGATATACAGTATGTCCAGTAGAAGGATGTGTGTAGCTAGGTGCAGTTTGCTTTCTCCACTGTAGGTGGCACTGTTTCTCTATGGTTTCCTGAAGCAGTGTTCCTGTTGGCTATGCTGCATTCAGGTGACCCTGGCGGCCATCTTGGGGAAGCAGAACCTTTTAAAGTGCCTACCCCCAGGATTTGGCGTGCATTTGCGAGTGCATAGTGTAGGCACAGAACACTCACCTGTCAGGGAAAGTGATTAGTGTCAGGGAGAGGTTATGGATGAGTAGGGACAGGTAAGGGCCCCATACTGTATTGGGATCCTCCCTGTTGGGCTCAGACTAGCCAGGCCACATCCTCAGAAACAGACGCTGTTGGTGCATCTCAATCTCCTCCGTTCTACAAGTTGCACAGAATTGTGTTTCCCAGCATGGCGCCCTCCCACTGGGCAGTTTCTTCAATACAAATATTCTTATTTGCAACCAGACTACCAGTGTTTACTGCCACCGCACCATGCTGCACCCACATGTGTATGGGTTCCCACTTGTCTCTGAGCACCTTAGACGTCTATGAGGGTTCTACTGTGCATGTATAGACATCATTTTGAGGAAGTTTTGTATGCGGGATAAAAGCCCTGTGGCTGGCCTCAGTGGTAGGAATTCAACAGGTATGGAGCTTGGCAGAGGTTAGTGACTACACCTCAGAGGGGTGGGGCAACATATTAGAAAACTTTGAAACTTTTCATACCTTTAAAGCCGAGTTTGGGCCGAGCTATGGGTATACAAATATTTACATACTGTATTATTACCATCAAACAGCTAATAATCATTAAGACAAGCATCTGCTGACCTTTGTAACTGCAGGTACTCTGGAGTAATTCATCCTCAAAGTTTGCAATAGATGCTTCTCAGTAGCTCTGCTCCTTCCTCCAAGCAGTGACTCAGCTCACCCTGTGCCCCCATTCCTACCAGTGACTTAGCAACTCAGGTCACCCTGCACCCCCCTCCAATCAGTGACTCAGCTTACCCTGTGTTCCCATCTCCACCAATGACTCAGCAACTCAGCTCACCCTGCACTCCCCTCCAAGCAGTGACTCAGCTCACCCTGTGCCCCCATCCCCACCAGTGACTCAGCAACTCAGCTCACACTGCACCTCCCTCCAAGCAGTGACTCAGCTCACCCTGTGCCCCCATCCAACACTAGTGACTCAGCAACTCAGCTCACCCTGCACCCCCCTCCAAGCAGTGACTCAGCTCACCCTGTGTCCCCATCCAACACTAGTGACTCAGCAACTCAGCTCACCCTGCACTCCCCTCCAAGCAGTGACTCAGCTCACCCTGTGCCCCCATCCCCACCAGTGACTCAGCAACTCAGCTCACACTGCACCCCCCTCCAAGCAGTGACTCAGCTCACCCTGTGCCCCCATCCCCACCAGTGACTCAGCAACTCAGCTCACACTGCACCTCCCTCCAATCAGTGACTCAGCTCACCCTGTGCCTCCATCCAACACTAGTGACTCAGCAACTCAGCTCACCCTGCACCCCCCTCCAAGCAGTGACTCAGCTCACCCTGTGCCCCCATCCAACACTAGTGACTCAGCAACTCAGCTCACCCTGCACTCCCCTCCAAGCAGTGACTCAGCTCACCCTGTGCCCCCATCCCCACTAGTGACTCAGCAACTCAGCTCACCCTGCACCCCCCTCCAAGCAGTGACTCAGCTCACCCTGTGCCCCCATCCCCACTAGTGACTCAGCAACTCAGCTCACCCTGCACCCCCCTCCAAGCAGTGACTCAGCTCACCCTGTGCCCCCATCCCCACTAGTGACTCAGCAACTCAGCTCACCCTGCACCCCCCTCCAAGCAGTGACTCAGCTCACCCTGTGTTCCCATCTCCCCAATGACTCAGCAACTCAGCTCTCCCTGCACCCCCCTCCAAGCAGTGACTCAGCTCACCCTGTGCCCCCATCCCCACCAGTGACTCAGCAACTTAGCTCACCCTGCACCTCCCAGCAATACCTTAGCAGTTCAGGTCACCCTGCTACCCACTCCCAGCAGTGACTCAGCAGCTCAGATCACCTTGAACCCCCCTACCAGCAGTGACTCAGAAGCTCAGCTCACCTTGCACCCCCTACAGCAGTGACTTGGCAGCCTTTAAGCCTTTGTTTCACAAAAGTAAACAAAGAGCAGGTGCACAGAGAGTGCTGAGACCCAACTTGGATGACTTCAGTGCTTCCATTGTTCAACATCACCCCAGTGCCTGTAGCTACAGAGGTCAGTGCGGCCTTGTTGTAATGCTTGTTGTAAACAATAAGGACATCTCTGAACGTTCATAGTCCTCAGTCCTGGTAATATTTCAGAAGGGATGTTCCAAAATGAGTATCTTCACCTGTTTCATTAGTGATCTCTCCGAGGGAACACAGAACGCACTGGAAACAGCAGATTGGCCGACCTTCGATGGACACCTTTCTGTGTCCCGGCTCGCACATCTCACTGCACACCGAACGTGGCATCTAAAATGATAACATAATTCAGAAATATATTACAGCGTTCAACAGAACAACCAATACAAAGCCAAGAAATATTCTGAATCTAAAATCTTCAAAGTGGCTGAAAACCTTGGAAATGAGAGGTCAGTCCACCAAAAAAATAGAAGTGATATCATCACTGTGCCAGTGCAGAGAGCAGAGCTGTGGGAGGGGCCGGGAAGATCCACCCACTACGGGCTGGGAGGAGTTATGACAATGTGAAAATTCCTTGCTGAGTGGGTGTCAGTCTGGAGGAGCGTTCCTAGGTAGGCTAGGAGGAGTCCACCTGTGCAAGACTGAAGGGGAGGAGTCGATACACCTGTGCAAGACTGAAGGGGAGGAGCCGATACACCTGTGCAAGACTGAAGGGGAGGAGCTGGTACACCTGTGCAAGACTGAAGGGGAGGAGACGGTACACCTGTGCAAGACTGAAGGGGAGGAGCCTGTGCAACTGTTCAAGACTGAAGGGGAGGAGCCGGTAAACCTGTGCAAGACTGAAAGGGAGGAGCCTGTGCAACTGTGCAAGACTGAAGGGGAGGAGACGGTACACCTGTGCAAGACTGAAGGGGAGGAGACGGTACACCTGTGCAAGACTGAAGGGGAGGAGCCTGTGCAAACTGTTCAAGACTGAAGGGGAGGAGCCGGTAAACCTGTGCAAGACTGAAAGGGAGGAGCCTGTGCAACTGTGCAAGACTGAAGGGGAGGAGCCGGTACATCTGTGCAAGACTGAAGGGGAGGAGACGGTACACCTGTGCAAGACTGAAGGGGAAGAGCCGGCACACCTGTGCAAGACTGAAGGGGAGGAGCCGGTACACTTGTGCAAGACTGAAGGGGAGGAGACGGTACACCTGTGCAAGACTGAAGGGGAGGAGCCGGTACACCTGTGCAAGACTGAAGATGAGGAGACGGTACACCTGTGCAAGACTGAAGGGGAGGAGCCGGTACAACTGTGCAAGACTGAAGGGGAGGAGTCGATACACCTGTGCAAGACTGAAGGGGAGGAGCCGATACACCTGTGCAAGACTGAAGGGGAGGAGCTGGTACACCTGTGCAAGACTGAAGGGGAGGAGACGGTACACCTGTGCAAGACTGAAGGGGAGGAGCCTGTGCAACTGTTCAAGACTGAAGGGGAGGAGCCGGTAAACCTGTGCAAGACTGAAAGGGAGGAGCCTGTGCAACTGTGCAAGACTGAAGGGGAGGAGACGGTACACCTGTGCAAGACTGAAGGGGAGGAGACGGTACACCTGTGCAAGACTGAAGGGGAGGAGCCTGTGCAACTGTTCAAGACTGAAGGGGAGGAGCCGGTAAACCTGTGCAAGACTGAAAGGGAGGAGCCTGTGCAACTGTGCAAGACTGAAGGGGAGGAGACGGTACACCTGTGCAAGACTGAAGGGGAGGAGACGGTACACCTGTGCAAGACTGAAGGGGAGGAGCCTGTGCAACTGTTCAAGACTGAAGGGGAGGAGCCGGTAAACCTGTGCAAGACTGAAAGGGAGGAGCCTGTGCAACTGTGCAAGCTGAAGGGGAGGAGCCGGTACATCTGTGCAAGACTGAAGGGGAGGAGACGGTACACCTGTGCAAGACTGAAGGGGAAGAGCCGGCACACCTGTGCAAGACTGAAGGGGAGGAGCCGGTACACTTGTGCAAGACTGAAGGGGAGGAGACGGTACACCTGTGCAAGACTGAAGGGGAGGAGCCGGTACACCTGTGCAAGACTGAAGGGGAGGAGACGGTACACCTGTGCAAGACTGAAGGGGAGGAGCCGGTACAACTGTGCAAGACTGAAGGGGAGGAGCCGGTACACCTGTGCAAGACTGAAGGGGAGGAGCCGGTACACCTGTGCAAGACTGAAGGGGAGGAGCCGCTACACCTGTGCAAGACTGAAGGGGAGGAGATGGTACACCTGTGCAAGACTGAAGGGGAGGAGCCGGTACAACTGTGCAAGACTGAAGGGGAGGAGCCGGTACACCTGTGCAAGACTGAAGGGGAGGAGCCGGTACAACTGTGCAAGACTGAAGGGGAGGAGCCGGTACACCTGTGCAAGACTGAAGAGAAGGAGCCGGTACACCTGTGCAAGACTGAAGGGGAGGAGCCGGTACACCTGTTTGAGACTGAAGGGGAGGAACCTGTACTCTTGTGCAAGACTGAAGGGGAGGGGCCAGCTCACCTGTGCAAGACTGAAGGGGAGGAGCCGATACACCTTTGCAAGACTGAAGGGGAGGAGCTGGTACACCTGTGCAAGACTGAAGGGGAGGAGCCAGTACAACTCTGCAGGGAAAATTCCACCCAAAAATGACTGTAATGTGTTATTGCAACCCTGATACATGTAATTTTTCCATATACAAGATAACATCAGCCTGTTATAAGAAAGTAAACCAAATTATCGGTGTATAATTCAAAGCAGAATACAGCAGGCAACTTGGTTTGAAATTACATTTATTGGCTATAAGGCAAGTACCTCATGAGTGCCCTTACGTGTTTCGGCCATGAAGGCCTTAATCATAGCATGTTAACTCTGGACAAAACATCCAATATATTCAACTTCCCTTCCCTACCTGATGTATGGGAAAGCCAAGGACAGTTAGTCAGTCATAATGTAAGGGAAGGAAGGAAGTTGAATGTATTGGTAAGTTTTACCCAGAACTAACGAGATATGATTAAGGCCTCATGGCCGAAACACGTAAGGGCAATCATATGGTCCTTGCCTTATAGTCAATAAATATCATTTCAATTGGATGACACCTAGTCTCCAGTTGTATTCTATGTTGGATTCTACATACTGAGTGTTATTGGAGACACCATCAGCCTGTGCATCAGCTTTCTCAGCTTCCATAAGGGATCTCGGTGAGAGCGATGCCCTTTGTTGTGTGTATGACTTTACCTGCGTATATTCCGGGTTCCAGATCACGGAGTCGGTATGTAGGATGATCTGTTCACCTGGAGGTGCTCGGGAATCGTATCGGCCCACTTTGACCAGCCTGTACTCATTGTTGGGGAAGATCTGCAGATTCATGATGTCGAACATCGCCGGAACTTCTCCGATCTCATTGAAGAACACGACATCCCCAGACTGGGTCCTGAAGAGGACATTTTTCAGGTGCTGGAAGACCTGGAACAACGAGAGACATTGAGCAATAAATCCAAAACCATAATTTCAACTTGACTTAGAGATCTGCATAGGAAATGTATCAGTGTGTGTCGGGAGATGTCACAAAGGGGTTCACTTACTAAACTGAAGCGTGCAAAATCTGGGGCAGCTCTGCATAGAAACCAATCAGCTTCCAGGGTTTATAACCAAAGCTTAACTGAACAGCTGAAGATAGAATCTGATTGGCCACCGTGCACAGCTGCACCAGATTCTGAGTGATCCAGTTTTAGTAAATCTCCCCCAATAGGATTCCTTCTTTATATTATAAGAAACATTTCTTCACATACTTGGTGTCATAACTACAAGAGGGCAATCACATTCTTCTGTTGCTCAATGATTATGTTTTATAACAACAAAATCAGACTTTTCCTTAAAGGATCAATCCAATGGGAACTCAGCGTAGAAATCCCACCAAAAGTCCCTCATGGGCCAAAGAGAAGGTCAGGAAGATTTAATTTGATCTCCAGCCTTCTTTTCAGTCAGTGGTAGAACTACCAGGGTCACAAGGGTCGCACTTGCAACCGAGCCCTGATGTTCCCCCACCGTGAAGGGGCCCCAAGACACCAGGAAGGGAGCCTGATGCAGGACATGTGTCCCTCTGTAATAAAGGGCCCTGCGATGTGAGTAAATATATATTGTATATATCTCACTTAAGTATGTATATATAGAGGTGTATTTATGAGGGAAAAAAGTGGCTGCGCTATCCATCATTAGACATATTTGTTCTGTGCAAAAGGAGGCAGCATTGCATGTTATCAGAGATTGGGCTATTATATCTCCAGGTCAAATGTTAGTCATTTATTAAAAAATAGAGCTTGGAAAATACCACAATATGAACACTGAGTATTTATTTCCTATGCTCGTCCGCTCCATCTAGTGGCCATAATGTGGTATTTCTCTGACTTACCCTATATATCAGGGGTCTCCAAACTCTCTAAACAAAAGGCCAGTTTACTGTCCTTTGAACTTTAGGGGGGACCGGACTTGGCCATTTTGAGTAGAAAAGGTCCTGACGTCAGTGGGAATAGACAATGCTCCATTTTTGGTGTCAGTAGGAGCAGAGGTGTAGCTGGGGGGGGGCAGGGGGGTACATATGTACCCGGGCGCCAAGGTACAGGGGCGCCAAAATGAGGCTTACAACCGGGGCGTATTTGCCACGAGGCAAACAAGGCGTTTGCCTAGGGTGGCACTTTTTAGGGGGGGCGGCGGAAGGGACACTTAGTACAGGGGCAGGCAGCGGGCCGCTGTGTCTTACTTGGCTCCGTGTCCCAGTCCCACGATGATCCAGTCCAGGAGGCGCTGCTGGAGGAGGGGTAGAGAGGTCCACCAGTCCGGTGTCTTCATTTCCCTGGACGAGATGTGTGGGCGGGATGACATGCCGCCCCTGTCATCTGGCCACACCCTCGGGATCACTGGACAGCCTATGGCAGCTTGTACCTCCCTCTGCGAGCTCCGCCTCCTCACCGGTGATTGGGCGCCAGAACTGTAGCTCAGGAAAGGCACACAGGCGGCCAATCACCTGCGAGGAGGCGGAGCTTGGAGAGGAAGAGCCAAGCGACAGCGTGTAGATCGAGTGAGGGAGCGGCCGGAGCAAGTGAAGAAGACAGCTGACCGGTAAGTGTGCCGTGCGGATGGTGCTGCTGCAACCAGGTATGCTGGCTGTGGATGGGAGAGGGAAGGAGCCTAGGCTGGAGCCGGGGTCAGCAAGGTAAGTGTCATTGGTGTCAGTGGGAAGAATAGTGCCCCATCATTGGTGTCAGTGGGAGGAATAGTGCCTCATCATTGGTGTCAGTGGGAGGAATAGTGCCCCATCATTGGTGTCAGTGGGAGGAATAGTGCCCCATCATTGATATCAGTGGGAGGAATAGTAGTGCCCCATCATTGGTGTCAGTGGGAGAAATAGTGCCCCATCATTGGTGTCAGTGGGAGGAATAGTGCCCCATCATTGGTGTCAGTGGGAGGAATAGTGCCCCATCATTGGTGTCAGTGGGAGGAATAGTGCCTCATCATTGGTGTCAGTGGGGAAGAATATAGTGCCCCATCATTGGTGTCAGTGGAAGGAATAGTGCCCCATCATTGGTATCAGTGGGAGGAATAGTGCCCCATCATTGGTGTCAGTGGGAGGAATAGTGCCCCATCATTGGTGTCAGTGGAAGGAATAGTGCCCCATCATTGGTGTCAGTGGGGAGGAGGAAATAGTGCCCCATCATTGGTGTCAGTGGAAGGAATAGTGCCCCATCATTGGTGTCAGTGGGAGGAATAGTGCCCCATCATTGGTGTCAGTGGAAGGAATAGTGTCCCATCATTGGTGTCAGTGGAAGGAATAGTGTCCCATCATTGGTGTCAGTGGGGAGGAGGAATAGTGCCCCATCATTGGTGTCAGTGGGAGGAATAGTGTCCCATATTTGGTGTCAGTGGAAGGAATAGTGTCCCATCATTGGTGTCACTGATGTGATTAAACGGGGAGGGACTTGGGTGCCAATTTTATAGTTCGTCCCCGGGCGCAAAATATCCTAGCTACGCCTCTGAGTAGGAGGAATAGTACTCCATCATTGGTGACATTGGGAGGAATTGTGACCCATCGTTGAAGTCATTGGGCCCCATTGTTGGTATCATTGGCAGGAACGGTGCCCCTTCATTGGTGTCAGTGCGGGAATTATGTCCCATTGTTGGTATCAGTGGATGAAATGGTGCCCCGAGGACCATGTAAAAGCAAACAAAGGGCCGCAGTTTGGAGACCACTGCTATGTACCTTATGAATGAATAACTTTCAACCTGGAGGGAAAACAGCCTAATTACATTCGATTTTGCCCCCATTTGCACAGAACACGTATCTGCAGTTTCAGAGGACTAACAGCTCCGCAATTTTCTTTTTATAAATATAATTCTTAGTGTTTTAGGCTGAACGGCACCACAAGTACAACCTTGCAGGATATGGCGTGTAATCAGGTGTGTCCCAGGTGACCATGAAAAACAGGAAGGGTTCAGCATTGAGAGCCTAACTTATTGGTCATCAAGAAAAAATGAAACTCTCAATGCTGCAATCTTCAGGTAAAGGATTCCACTGGCCAGGAAATTTCTTTTAAAAACTTAATAAAGATGGTAGAAAAAAAAAAAAAAAGAGGCCTGAAGGAAGGGCAGTTTGGTAAAAGGGATGAGCCGAAGTGCCTTGGGTTTGGTTCAAGCAATCTTCAGAAGACTATAGAGTTTGGACGCCCACCCCAACCCCATTGAAATCAAAGGGAGCGAACCTGTCAAATTAAAAATGACCATTTTGTGGACTAATAAACAAGGAGGTGTCAAAAAACTTAGCAGCCATGGAGAACATGTAGCAATGCCAAAAAAAAAAAGTAAAATAAATTCCATAGGGAGACCCCCCCCCCGCGGCTAAGCATCCTGTCCCCATTGGAGAAAAGAAAACAAATCCAGTTAAGCTTTTAATATTTTTAGTTAGCCAAGGTATCACTCTGACTTTGTTGCCTTCTCCAGGGGCGGACTGACCATTTGGAAACTTGGGCACTGCCCGAGGGCCCGGGGTCAGT